AGATACAGTAACTGCCCCTTGCTAGTAAGGAGAAGATTATAGTAAAGAGTGGGAGGTAGAGAAAACAATATGAGACTGTGGAGAGTTTAGGAGTGAGGGTGAAGAGCAGAAAGTAGTGTGAGTTGGGCACTACAGAGTAAGTCTGAGCTTTGTGAGAAAAGATCATTAGTGAAGTAAAAGACAACTGGGTGTTGCATAATAAGTCAATTCCTAGTGATGAGCAAGAGAATGAGGTTGTGCAGAGCACCAAAGAGTAATTCAGGTTGAAAACTGTAATGGCTAATTAAAGTCGAAAGTGAGTGAAGAGTGAGCTGGACTCACTTTTTGATTGAGTAGTGAGTCAAATTAATATTTATTTTTCTAAAAAAAAAAATGCTTACTGGAATGCTTTTCTGGAAAATCCATTCAAAGTGCTTTACAGGTAATGGGGAGGATGCGACGGCACATGTATCAGCTAACAGTGGGGAGGAGAACAAAGTGATGGAAGCAATTCATAGATGAGGATTATTAGGAGGCCATGATTGATAAAGGCCAATGTGAAATTTGGCCAGGATGCTGATGGCCAAATCCTCATGAAAAAGACCAGGGGAGACCTGTGAAAGGTGAAAAGAAGTTTTCCTCTGAAGGGAAATTACAAAAGAGATTGAGGATCTCGGAGGCAGTCCAAATAAAGTGGTAAAACAAGGGCAGGTTTAAATTGCCAAAAGATAAGGTGATGGGGTGGGAGTACGCAGAGCAGACAAGAGTTGAAACAAAGTAATAAATTATCACACCCTTTATATAGATGTAAAGCAAAGCAGTCACTTTAATTTCTAAATTCAGTCATACCTTTATAAATACATTATATTGAAATCTGAATGTGATGGAAACCCTATGTGACCTCCTTTTGCTAGGAATATTGTACATTTGGAGATGGTTTAAGTTTCTTGATTTATTAGCTAAAAGCCATTATATATTCAATATATCTTTTATCTCTGAGCACAGGTTACTTTATTCAAATAATGATTTAGTTTAGATGTGCACTTTTTCCCAGAATTTGAGCAGTAGTTCAAATTCCCTAGCATGATTTTTGGGCACCTCACACCCTCCTTAGTTGCTATTTTCTAGTAAGGGACAAATTTGCTGTCACATTTAACAATCAGTGGCTTCATCAAGATTTTTTAACTGAAGTTTTCAGACTTAACTGTTCAGGCCTAAGGATACTAACAATATGTAACAGAAAATAATAATAAGGAATAGAACTTTTGATCTCAAAAGCTCCCAAAGCATTTTACACTTAAGAAGGGGCCCATTTCATCCACCACTGAAGTGCAGCACCCCCCTGGGTGACACAATTATGTACCATCTGCCCTTCTATTTAGAAGAACAGGTGTAGAAGTAAGAAACTGCTACACCGACTGGATGAATTAAGAAGGAAATTTAGGTAGGTCAGACTGTGCAAGCCCACAGAGAACTTTAACCAGAACCTTGGGGTAGTACCTCCACTCATGACATGAACAGCCTCATGGAATCTGTAGTGACCATGTTAGCAAAAAAGGACAACGCCTCCTACATTATAGTGCCCTTGATCATTCAACGAATGTATTGAATTGGACATTCTTATCTAAACAGAAGACTGACACCTGCAGGTCTACCAACACCATTACAGAATCCTGTTTTTTTCTGGTTTCAGTCCAAGTACTATCCTTACTTAGATGTTGAGAACTGACAAGGTCAGTTTACAAAGTGGTAATGCTGCTGCAGATGAACCACCTTCTGTATATTGTCCCAGTTCTCTGTGTACAAAGTGTTTCTAAACCTAGTTCAAATAGGTGGCTGCGTCACCATGCGTAGGCTGCAAGGGAACGAGTAAAGATTTATTCCATTCTGAAAAGAGAAGAAATGAAATACAATGTTTCAGCTGTGGAACCTTCTTTGGGTTACCCTTCTTCTGTCGAAACATTTTTTTCTTTTCTTCTCTTTTCAGCATGGAATAAACCTTTACTTGTTTATAAACCTATGCAACAATTAGAAGAAGGGGGTAGCTTTTCAGAGAAACCAGCAACATTTAATGTACAGGTTACCTAGATTGATTAATCAAGCAACACAAACAGTCAACAAATATATAGCTTTCTTTGTACAAGGACAGCACATTGGGCTGCCATCAAACGCCTTATTAATGTCAGTAGTACTAGTACATTATAAGGACAGTTTGTTAAGGTCAGTTGAGGTATTGAAAGATAACTCTGAATCTGGGGCTTACAATGAAGACAAATGAGCAATATTCTCTCACCTAGCCTCTTTAGCTAGTTATTTTTCTCTGGATTAGCCACTCTTGACAAACTGTATGTAAGACCTCAGAATATAGGTTGCTATACCAAAGGTTGGAAGTGTAAAAGTATTTGTACAGTAAACCTCTTCCTCTGCTTATGAAGTCATTGGCACAGACAGTGAGATCCTTTATGTTGCATTGTATTATTATTTACAAGATTTAAAAGGTCAAGGACTCATCACTGACTCTGGGTCTTCTTGAACATTAATGATCGGCAATGTAGAAAGTATATCAATAGGTCAGGGGTTATCTGGTGGTAACATAAGAATAAAACAAATCTGATTACAAATGTAAGTTATGTCAAGGTTTGTTTATAAGCAGAATAACATACTGGTTTCAATTTAAGAAACCAGGCTTGGTTTAATGTAATAACCAGTTATGCAGGACCTTGCATCTACCTTATATCTTAGCTTTATAGACTATTTTGTTTTGTAGTCTACAGAACAGATACAGTAGCTTGTGCTTTTATTCGTGCTGGTATGTGCAATGTTTCTGCAGAAACCAGATGCAATTCTTCTTGAATCTTTCAGAACATGGCATAAAACAAATTTGAAGTTGCTTTGAACGAAGAGGTTTTTCTGAGAGAGATTCAAACTTTTGTCTTATTTGAAGATTTTCACATTGTTTGCCTGAATTAAAAATTCCTTGACCATGTTTTGTTCTATTTTTTACAAATTTTATGATGACTTCGGCCAGATTAATTATTTATTATTGATTATTGACGTATTGTAATGGAGTTAGGTTGTCATACATGTATTCAGGTTATTGTTGTTGTATGTACTGTACAAACTATTCCGTAGTAGGACATAAGTCTGCATATGAAAGGTAAATAAGTATATACTAAACACTGTATACTGTACTGCCCTTGTCAACTCTTAATGTTAGGTGGATTGCGAAAGTTAAATTTTTCTGCTCATCCCATAAAAATGCATTTTTGGGGGGCTTACATCAGCTCATATCAAACAAAGGAGTGATCAAGCATTTTAAGCATGTTTAGCTTGTTTTTTATGCTTTTTTGTTTTTCAACTTGTTAAGCTTGTTAAGATAAGTTTTCTTTTTTGCTTAAGCCCTTACTAAATTTAGTTGTCAGGTGTGGTCTTATACAGACCAGAAGTAGATGTTTCAGAGAAGAAATATTGGATTAGCAGTACAGTCATAAATTGCTTACTTTCCCAGCATTAGTTAACCATGGCTCTTTTATTGCCAAATTTTATATTTCTTTTTAGAATTATTCAATTGCATTTGTAAATTTTTGTGTTGCCATGAACGTCTCAGTTTTATAGAATGATAGATATTCCTACTTCATGCAAAGCAAATATGAAAACAAAGTAACTGCGGTCAGTTGTGTCATACTTTTATGTTTAAGGTGAAGAGAAGTACAGTATTCTTAATAGTATATTAAAGTACATTAACATATTTTAATTTGAACTCTTAATTGTGTTAATTAAAAATTAATTAACAGCAATATAATGTAATTAAAATATAATTTAATTATACCATATTATATTGTTACACACTTTCTTTGGTATTCGCACTCTATTGTTGATAAAAAAAAATGTGAAAAAGTTGAGGAGCTTGGATTATTTGTGCTGTATGATAACAGAATGCACTTAGAAAACTAAAGCAATTAAGATTACCAGCTGTGTCAAACACTACACAAGCACAAGCAGGAACAGTGTAAATCCAGCTTTAAAGTGAAGGTTCAATAATAAAAGTGCTTCTTTAATCGTAGTCGGCATCATAGACATTTACACAAATGTATCACTTCTGAAAGTAATATTTCCCTGTTGGCTTCATCAACATAGTGAGATGCTTTTCCTTTCTACAGTAGAAGATTTGAATGAAATTATAAACAGCAGGCTCCCTTTTGTTATGACTTTCTTTAATTGTTTTTGTCAGATGAGCATAACGTAGTTATATATTTATAGAAGTGTCTTAATATAGACATAACCTGCAAAAACAGTGCCTAAAATGGGTTGGTGATAACCTGAGATATTCAATAATCCTTTTTTTATTATGTTATTGTTTTAAAATGTCAGAAAGCAGAGGAGTCAACTTGCTGTGACTCATCTAGTTGCTTTTAACATTGTCTAGAAGCTGTTGTTTTTTTTCATGCAGGACAGCAAAAAGCAAACACACTCAATAAATCTGTTTTTCTGCAGACAATGTAATTCAATCAAGCATTGGCCTGATAATCAGTTGCCTTTAAAGTAGCTTATCAGGAAGAGTTGCATCTTATTAGTCTTTTGATATCCTATTTTCAAATACCTATTACAGTGTCCTTTATATTGTTTTTTGCTGTGCTTTTAATCACAAAAAGGGCTGGGAATTATACAGTAGTTATTTTAGTATGTTTATTATTAAAAGGGTGTTGGGTATTGGGATATACCGTACAGTATGAACAAGTTGTAAAGCATACTTGTTATTTTCTAAAGAGGTACTGAAGGTAAAAAGATATAGCATAAAAATGTCTTCAGGTAGCTTCTTAAGACGTTTGTATAAACTGTAATTGTGTACTAATGTCAAATATACCAATGTAACTGCTAAAAGAAAACATGGAAGATGCACACTGACAAGTCACAAAGTATACATCTAAGAAATTTGCATCCAGAGCTGTTTCATGTTTTTTCTGTGTAGTAGCCTAGAAATACCTCAGTAAATGGTAATTACTTTTTTTTTGGTCTGACAGGGTCCCAGGAATAACTATTGCTACTGATATTATCTGCGGTTTCCCGGGTGAGACAGATGAAGACTTTAAAGAGACCATGGAGCTAGTAAACGAATATAAATTCCCCAGCCTCTTCATCAATCAGTTCTACGTTAGACCTGGAACCCCAGCAGCTAAGATGCAGCAGGTCCAACCCCAAGTGGTGAGATACCTTTATCTTCTCCCTTCATCTCATTTCTTTTTGTTAAACTTCTTTCGTATTTTTTTTCGTATAGTCTGTTTTCTTTGAGGGCAGTTACACTGTTCATAATATCCTGTGTTCTTACAGATGATTGGATGAACATAAGAGACATGTGACTTAACATAACTGTGTTTTTTCTTTGCTTAAAGAGAATTCAGCTCCACCTAAGACTATGGATCATACCATTTTAGTTGCTTTTAAAGGTTCTCTTTAAAGGAACATTACAAGAAATTAGCATATTTTCTTTTGGGCGTTGACTAGATTTCCTTTTCCCCCTCTTCAGTTAATTCACTTTAATGAAGTGTAGCACTGTTTAAATTTGAAATAGAATCTCTTTAAAACTGTAATACATTTTTTATTACATTTTGCAGTTTCTGTTGATGATATGACAATAAGTTCATTCAAAGGATAGAAAATTGATTATTTAAATACAAGGTTAAATTAAAATGAAATAAGGGGGAACAGTATGCAAATACTGTACCATTAATGAGTCACTGAAAATGTTAGTTATGGATGCAAAATAGAATTTAAATATTATTAAAGATAAAAAAATATATTTTTTTGCCTACATATACATATACCTTTTTTAGGAAATACCATTGTGGGATTTTTTATGTTGCTTGTTTCAATTTAAATATTATTTCTATGAGAGCAAATTAATACTCCAGTTGCATGTGTTTTGAGAGTTTATTTAGTATGTTGGTACTTCGTAATAGAAAATGTCAAATCTGTGTTAAGCTGGAATGATTGTATTTCTGTATGGAAAATCTACAGCTATAGCACATGTGATTTCGTTTTAGCTGTCATGAGAGAATGAGGTGCTTCTTGCCACCTCTGTGTGGTACAAACCAAGTCTGCACAATCTGCATATACTGGATAAAGTTGCATAATTAGTAGGCTAAAAGGACTTTGCTGGTTTTAGTCATGTGTATTGCATCTGCTTAATAGTCTTGCCATCTGCAGTGCAGATGTAAATAAATTGCACAATTTTAACTTTTTTACAAAAAGAGAAGAGAATTAGTTGTAACAGGAACATTTCAACTTAAGTGCTTTTTGGCAAAAGCATTCAGGAAACAGAAACTAAACTACTTCTCTCTGGTGTATCTGTGAAACATCTCTTTCTAAACATAAGTGTATCATCTTTGTTTTTTCAGCAGTGTTAAGTGATGTTATATGATGCAGAGCAAGGAGGTTCATATTGACTTACAAATGTTCCAAACCTCATTCAGTGATTATTTAGTAAATCAGTAGTGTCATTTGTGTGGGGATGCTTTTCTTTTACCCTCAGGCACGCAAACCACTCCAAGTAAATTCAGTTTTATTTCAAAAGATATGCAAAGCTTATATAATATAAATTCAGATATGGATCAGAACCTAAAAATGTTTTTTTTAGCAAGACCTTTCTGATGATTTGGGACTTGTGGAATACTAAAGGATGAGAGGAAAGAAAAGACTTACTAGAAAAGAAACTGCATGTGCAGAAAGAAGGCAAGAGAAAAGAGAATGCAAAATTGAGTTTGAAATACACTAAAATATACTAAAATCCTCTCCCAGACAGCTTTGACATCTGTCTCCAGCAGTGTTAGCATTTTGTTGCCATACTTGATTTCTTCTACTGTTTTTGAATTGACTGTTTTAAAACATAGTAGCTCAAGCCCTTCTTTCAAGTAACAGTTGTCATTCATGTAAAAATACTGCTCATGGTGTAAAGTTGAATTTTGTAGAAAGCCAGTAAACCTAAATTTATGAAGCACACCATACAGAACTGTTGATTCTTGATACAGGAGCAACTATGACACAGTGCATTCGGTATCTGTATCTACAGGCATAATAGTCCTCAAGATATCAATAAAAGACGGTAGTTTTCTGGTTAATCCCAAATATGTGGTTTAAATGAAAAACTGGAAGATCTACTCAGCTGGAAGTAAAGGAACAATATACTGTAGTTATAGCAGTTGGAATTAAACCAACCAGGTACATTCAGGGGTTTCAAGGAATGTCCTATACTGACAGACTGAAGGAACTGATAGTTTTTATTCATACAGTATGTAGAGAAGAATGTGAGGAGACTTGATCCAAGTTTTCAGAAACCTTAAAGGCATTGATAAAGTCAACCTGGCAGAATTCCTGGTAATGAACTGTGAATCACTATTGTACTGTAATCACAGGACATCACTGGGATCAATATCATTCACTAAGTCACAGTATCTGTGGATTTTAGCTTAATAAAGCACCCGTGGGACAATATTGTTAGATGCATACATCAATCACCATAAAAAAAATATGTCCTTAAAAAATTGATCAGAGGATTATTCCTTTATTCCATTTGCAGTGCTTCTACCAGCCTATTGCTTTTATCCCGCTTTGTGAAAGATTATGCTTTAACTAATCATGGGCACGTGAATTATGATCACTTACGAACAGTAGGAGTACCTTACTTTAATGCATTATTTGGCTCCTAACACATGATTTGTAAACCAATTCTTACAAAGTAGTTTGCAATTAATAAAACATACAGTATATTCATGTATCTGAGGGTACACTAGTGCACCAGTACCGTTGAAATACTTATCTGTTTTAATTGAAATCAGTCTATAGTAAAATAAATGAAATCCTTGTGCATTTCTGTTCTTGCTTACTATTATGTATGCCATTATATGTAAGATATCAATTCCATATGGCTTAAAAGAATGCACAGTTTTATGCTATATAATGCATACAACCACTGTAGTAAAGGTTTAATCTGGAATAGTTTCAAAAGACATGTTTTCTTTTCTTTCATGCTTCTGTAGCAGATTTTTTTCATACCATCCTCATAACATTTTACCAAGTTTGTTTTGTCCTTTAAACAGTGTTTTTGAAAAAAAAATGTTTTTGACTTTTAAACCTTCCTCATGAAAAACTCCTGACACCAGCAACTATAAGTATATGAAGCGTCACTTTTCTGTTTTGTACCAAAATGTGTTTTTTAGTCTAAATATAAAACAACAATTTTTAATATCAGATTCCTAGATACATTTTTTGACTTACAAAGTAGTCTTTACCTATTCGTACAGAAATGAGGTGAAAATTTTGCCCATCATAAAGTGAGCTGCTATTATGTCAAGAGTGTCACTGAGTGTTGCTTTCTAAAAGTTTTTTATTACTGAAAATTAGTATTTTTAAAGATATAGTTGCTACTGTTCAAGGTTTACGGCAATTAATATCTATATTTCTAATATACTGTATATTTTATTTGCAATCCCTTCTTCTGAATTAGGAAACATTAAAATGAAGATCATTTTAGTTCAAATGGCCATGTAAATAATATATTGCAAATGTTTATTGTAGGACGTATTCGTAAGTTCGTACTTTATCCTATGCAAGAGGATGTTTACCCTGATATACAGTACGTAATATTATTCAGAAAACACATTAGATTCATTTAAAGGGGAACTTCAGTCCCAATTTCTCAGAACAGTTAGTAAATCTCAGTAACAAATAAATTCATTGACATCATAGAAAGAATAACACATTTTGAATTAAGCACAAAATTGTGAACTTTGTGAAAGTACTGTAAGATGCAGTGTTGTCTCAAACTCGCATTCAGCATCCCACGAATTGCGATGTGATGCGACCCCTCCTGCTCACTAGTCTCTGGCTGATGTCATGTGATGTATGACTGAATAAATACAGATTGTGCAGCAGACATTTCACCCCAAAACTGTCCTGTGATCTGCACGCAGAGTTAACAAGTAAGTAGTTCTTGTCAGCAAAACCATCTTGAAATTTAAAAGCAATATTTTTTTAGATTAAAAGAGATGTATTCACAAGCCTGCTTGTTTACATAGGGCTGCACACGTCGCCAGAAGTTTTATTGCCTCGTTCTGAATTGTAGAACATGGCGCTGCGCATTTTCATTCCATTTTCTGTTCCATTTTAATGTGCATACCTGGAAATTCCATCTATTTTGTGATGTAAATTGGAGGTTTTACAAGTTACTGTGTACATTTTTACTTTTATTGTGAATTGAAATGCACTCATCAATGCTGATTCTTTCTAACCCTGATATATAAAAATAGCATTGCAGTTCCCCATTAAGTATCAATATTAAAAAAGCTCTTGTGTGATCAGTAAATAAAACATCTAACCATGAAAAATATACAGTTCGAAGACAAAGCAGTTTACATATACTGTATATACAGTACAACTATGCCAAGTTTGAGGAAAACACCTGCTGTGAAACTGAAGCCAGAGTATCTAGCCCATCCACTTTTTATACTGGAGCTTTCACAAACCTCCTGTCTCTACTGAACATATGTGCTGAAATGCTTTGTATACTGGTATCTTCCACCCATAATGACTGTATCTGGTTGTTACTCTGGGGAAAGCAGGAGCTCTGCTATTTAAGACAGTGTTAGTTATTTGCATGCTGGTAGAACATGTATTATAAATGGTTGAGACTATGTGAAGATAGGTTAATGTCACTAAGCATGCTGTGAATTTTACAATGGACTTCCTTAAAAGTTTTGGATTAGCCATCTCAGTTCTAGCTGAATTCATTATGATTTCATTCATAATATTGTGTAGCAGTGGAGAAAAAATGTGAAAGTTTTTTACCTAGTTGCTTCATTATAACAATTTAATTAAGAAAGGGTTAGCTTGCACTTGCAAGGGTTAGTTTCCTATAAACTTAGAAAGTTCAGTAGATGACAAATAAGTAAAGTTTAACTTGCCTTAAGCAAAATAAAATTTTAATTATTAGCTAATGAGCCACTATATTTCAGAAAGAGACAAAAAATGTTCTGTATTTGTATAGGCTATGTATAGGAAATAAATATGCACTGTATTAAAATGATAGTAAAATTATCCTAGTCAAATGTCAGATATGAGTTTGCCTTCAGCATTTAATAAAGTTTTCCCAACATGGAGGTCATTTGACAGCAGTTGCCATAGCAATATAAAACCACCAAGCTACTGCT